TGAGGGGGGCCGATGGGGGGTGGTAATGTCGGTGATAACGCCAAGATGATTTTTTTTAACACTTTCACTAATCATCCTTCGTCCATACCCTCTCTATACAGAACTTCGCATTTCTTATTCTAAAACATGGTTCTTGCTTGTTTTGTTTTTTTAAATTATTATTTTTTTTAAGGCAGTCATATTTGGGCGTCCAATTTCCTGTCCTAATTTTAAATATAGTTCCCACAATACAAACGTCTAAAAAGGAGTGTTTTAAATACTGCATGTCAGCTGGTATTAACTTGACAGTAGATGCGGGAAACAGCCTCCTCACACAGAAGTAGGTCATCCCTTTAGATGTTCAGGAATAGCATTGTTGCAACAGCTCCGACTCCGAGAGTCAGCATGCTTTGTTCACATGAACTGTGTCATCTAAGGAGGACATATGAACAAAAATAGGAAGAGTTCAAACCTTTTTGTGCTTTGCATTTGGCTCTGGTATAATGTGCCAATACTGCTGCCACTTAAATCGATCACGTGCACATGTATTTTTTATTTATTTATTTGCTTTAAGTTTTGAGTTGCCTGATTCAGCACCAGTAAATGATTACAGTTCTGCTGCACCACTTTAGCCCAGCAGAGAGCATCCTCCTCCTTCAAAGCTCCACCTGGCCCAATGACAGAGCCTCATGGCTCCACTGTGACAAAAGAACCCAAATCGTGAACTGATTTCACTTATGAAGTGAATTCGTAAGCTTTTATTGCTCTACATCACATCATTTCCCTCTTTTAATTTCCCATTGTACTGCCGAGGTGTTGTAATATTATTAGAGCTGAGGGACTTACAGTAAAAACAGGCCTCATCACAGGCGTTGACCTCACGGTGGGAGGCAGAGTTGTCAGTCAGAGAATCTTGGAAGCTGCCAGGAGACTAATCAGAAAATAAGTTGATGAATCAACTGGCAAAGTCAAAGAGTAGACACAGCAGTCTAACAGATCCTTGGCTGACAAGCTGAGAGCTAATAGAAAGAGCTCAGACCTTTTTTTGTCGGATCAAAACATATCCCTAAAGTAGGCCTGAGGGCTGTATGATAATAGCTTTACTCACACCAGGAGAATGGAAACTACCTTCTCCGTGTCTCGTTCAGTCACCCACCACTGATATCTACTAATGACAGTTAATCCAAACATTAGGGAGATTTGTCATGGCAGTGCTATGGATTTATATGCTAAATATATTCAAATGGAAATAACGTCCGATGTAAAGGGAATGTTCTGAACACCCCAATTCTTACATCATATTTTGGCTGAATGTGGAGGCTTCTGGGAAATATGATGTGTTCCAGGATAACTGTCTTGTCTTGTTTAGCTGCGCCCAGAGATTGCAAACTGAATGAAACTGTCACATTGTTTCTTAATGTATCTCTGTTACTTACTCAGCACAAAAAGAGGGGAGTGGGGGGGGGGGGGGGGGGTCCATTAGTGATTTTTCTTTTAGGTCTGGTTTTATTTAATTTTTTTTCATCATGTACCTTTAGTATCTTATGTGTCTTGTCATCTTGTCTGCTTAAAGATATAGCTTTAGGCGTTTTCTTAAAAACATTGTATATATTTTATATATATAAAATGTATTTTTTTATTGATTTTTTTTTTACCACTATCTAGATTTAAGGTTTCCAATGTGGTGAGAACGCAACGACAGCTCAAACATGTATGAAGCCATTTTCAATAACTCCGTTAGTTAGTGATAAAACAACTGGTTTTGAATGAAAGTCTATTGGACAATAATTAAATGTAAAATAAATGGTAAAAATAAAATAAATAAATAAACCATGGTGGGACATTGACAATGAGGACCACCCAGTACCTACCTTAATGACAGGGGACAGCTGTTAACATTTGGTGTCATCTCTCCAAAATGGTAGTGGGGGACTGGGGGGTGGGGGTGCGGGGGCTGTATATCTCAATGGTTTGTTTTGTAAACTGATTTTTGTGTCAACATCTTTGAATACAGTCCGTACTTGCAACAACGTTGGGGAAGTGTAACGTCCCACTGAATTGAAAATGGAGGCAGGGGGTTTATGGAAATAACATGCCATTCAGTAGCGCGACTGTGTTTCTGGCTGACGAGGCATCCTCCAGTGGTACTCTGCATCAGTTCACTGTGCTGCTAACTGTACTGAATGAGAGTGAGCTGTGATCATTTTTTATGAGCGTACTCTATCACGTAATGGCTCTAAGTCTAAATGAGTTGGCACAGTCACGATGTGAGTGTGACGATCTCTGCTGGAAACAGTTTCCTCACACGTAGACCCTCACATCCTTTTCAAAGGTACACCGTGTACGACGTCTTCGTGGGTGTGTCTTCTGGTACTATACACAAGATGACACACCGTCTCAGTTGTCCACTGAAAAAAGAAGAAGACAGAGACAGTCCACGCACTGCAGTTCAATTTTCATCAGACAGTTGTGCTCCAAGGTCAGTATTGGTGTCATCATGTCACAGGTTACACAAGTGGTGAAATAATGAGGGATTATAGACCAGGTGACACGGAGTTATATATGTTGGTTTTTTTCGGAGTGAGGCTTACATGTAGACCGTATACCTGCATTAGACTGATGGAGGAATATAAGCAACAAAGGGCAGAATGCCAGACACTGGAGCCTTTTAATTTATTTTCAAAAGTTGGAAGCTCTGCTAAAAATATGCTAAAACAAAATGTGACTCTGGACAGTCCATGTTGGATATGTTTACTATTTTATCTTTTGTCTTGCAGCACATTTTTAATGTTATTTGAAGCAAAATATAGGTAAAATTAGTATTTTAAAAAGGACATTACTAAGAGGTGTACAGCATTGTTTCCCAAAGACTGGGTCGCGACCTTCAGGTGGGTCGCCTCGTATCATGTTACCTAGGAGTTTATGAGAATGTCTATTGACTTGGGTCACAAAAGTTTGTGACTTTTAAAATATGGGTCCCCAAAAAAAGGTTTGGGAAACACTGGTGTACAGCACCACACATCAGCAGCGCCAACGTGATAAAACCGCTAGTACAGATGGGTTTCCTAAGGTGAAGTTCCTAAATCTAGATTACAATTGCTGTTTCTTTCAAGGGTTAATGATTCACTGGTTCTTATAAGAACATTTCTGGCCAAGTTTATTAAATAAATGAAGGGCAGAATCTGGCCAAGTTTATTAAATAAATGAAGGAATAGTCATTACTGTATGGAGATAGTGGGGGAAAAAGCCACACTGATGGACATGAGGGCCAAACAGTGTCTGCTCTGATTGGACGCTCTAAATGAACCAAAGTTCGTGAAGAATTGTTTGGTCTCTGTATGTGGCCTTGTGATGAACTGGAAGACTGGTGTCCAGGGTGTACCCTCCCTCCGACTACTGAGATTCACTCCAGCTCCCCTCACAGCCCTGAGAAGGATTAAGGCGTAGAAAGAATGAATGAATAATGCACAGGATTATATGACTAAATATGACTAAATATGACTAAAAATCTTCCTATTACACACACACAGAATTGTTATGAGCAGAATCTGAGATTTAATGTCATAAACCAAAGTAACTGAACAGCATCCCAGCAGGTAAAGAATCTAATATTAAATTTGCAGCAACAGCACACGGTACACTTAATTATAAGCATCGGCGACTGTTTTCTTTCCCTTTACTGTTTTCTTTTGTTAGAGCGCAATATGAGCATTGATTATATGACAGAGTAAAGAATAGAGTAGTTAAACCCTGTCATGACTGGATAAAGAGCATCCTGACACCATCCTTCTTTCTGAGAATTCCAGCTATTTTCAGGGCTTTCCTTTCTATAAATTCAATGGCTGACATTCACACATCAAGTAGCGAGGCCTTATTTTTTTTAAAGCTATGGTACCAAGATGATACCCTTATAAAATAACCCTGAGAATAATTGTGGATGTAATCACCTGAAATCTTTTATAAAATGTCACCAGAAATATTTGATCCTGTGAACATCGGTAAGGATTCTATCCTCCGTGTCTCCCGCCTCTCGGTATATTTTCTACCTTTATTTGGCATTTGCCTGTGTGAGATAGAGCCACTGGGTGGTGATAATGCAGTTTAGAAGATTTATATCTGCCAGTAAAGCCCAAAGAAGAAGCAAGTCCGAGAGTGTTAGCAGTGT